AAACATATGCTGTGCAGATGTTTCTTCCCTGCAGCGACTGTGTCAAGCAGCAAGGATGGACCGGCTTCCGGCAACATTCTTACCATTTGCAAGGTTAGATTTGAGTACTGGCTTATTGCTTGGCTTCTTCATGATGCTAGAGAGCCCCACATGGGCAGATATCAAATTGTTTTATTCACCAAAGTATACCCAGGACCCTGGCACAGCCTGCACATGCAGCTTTTACTGAATGAGTGAATGGAATGAATGAGTGAATGAATGAATGAAAGGCATATGAAAGAATCCTCTTGGATTCTGGCTCTGCTTTCACTAGAAGTGCAGGCCTTCTATGAACTCTTTGAGACCTTAACAGGGTAGAGCCTCCTCTGCTCTCAGTCAAACAGACCAGTTCTTTCTCAAGTTACTGCCTGATCCTCCAGACACTTCCATGGCTTGCTGAAACTTCTCAGTATCAGTCATCCACTCAGGCCACCTGCCCCTTACTCATTGGTCCTTTCAAGCTGCTAACATGGCTTAACTTCCTACTCCCCTCCCATTTTGGGGTCAAAGAATTGATGCTGCAAAGGTACTCTTTGCTCAATGCCATAAATTCTTCTTATCTCCTGGGAGTAAAGGTCGGGAGCTCATCTCTTCCACTTTTACTATTGAGGTGACAGATCAATGGGATATTTACTGCCACGTCACAGGATGGCATCTGTTTGCTAAAATAACCTTGAGGCAATTGTGTTTCCTCCTGGAGAGCAGGCACCACAGCGGCCTTATTGACCACCATATCCCCAGTGTTTAGTACTGGACTTGGAACATAGCAGATGCTCAATAAATATCAGATGAAGAAGGGACAGAGGGAAGGAAGAGGGAGGAAAATCAAGATCAGAGTGGCCCAGTTTCTCACAGAGTGGTTCAGAAAGAAAGAGGGTAACCACTTTATATCCATTAGAATGTGTGTGTTTTTTAAAAAGAAACAGATTTTGGTGAGGATGTGGAGAAATTGGAAAAGTTGTACATTGCTGACAGGAATGTAAAATGGTGCAGCTGCTGTGGAGGACAGTATTGTAGTTCCTCAAAAAGTTAAACATGGAATTACCATATGACCTAGCAGTCCACTTCTAAGTATATACCCAGAAGAATTAAAAGCAGGGACTTAGATATTTGCACGTCAATGTACATAGCAGCATTATTCACAAGGACTGAATAGCCAATAGGGGTGGGGGGAGGACTAAATGTCCATCAATAAATGAATAAATAAAATGTTGCATATACATACAATGGAATATTATTCAGCCTTAAAAAGGAATGAAATTCTAACATGTGCTACAACCTGTATGAACTTGAGGACATTATGCTAAGTGAAATAAGCCACCCAAAAGAACAAATATTGAGTGATTCCCACTTATATAAGGTTCCTAGAATAGTCAAATTCATAAAGACAGAAAATAGAATAGTAGTTACTAGAGGGATAGGGAGGGAGGGGAGTTATTGTTTAATGGGTTCAGAATTTCAATATGAGATGATGAAAAAGTTCTGGAGATGAACTTTTCCATTCATAGAGTGGTGGTTGCACAACACTATGAATGTATTTAGTCCCACTGAACTCTACACTTAAAAATGGTTAAGATGATAAGTTTTATGTTAAGTATATTTTACCACAAAATTAAAGAGAGAAAGGAATAAATGAATGAATACATAGATAAATAAATAAATAAATAATGGTAGCTACACTTTTCCAATTTTCCAGGGACAAGAAAACAGTGATATCTCCGATGTGTATCAGAAATGGTAAGGACTGAATAAATAACTGTTCATTGATTAAATTGTGTGTTTTCCCCCACAGTTGAACTTTTTTTAAAAATTTAGGTATAGTTTACTTATTTGTCTACATACAAAAAAGATTTCTTTTCTGAAAATAACCAAACATAAACACTACTCAATAGAGTTGATGTGATACGGTCAACGCAAGAATGAAAAGAAAACAAACCTTAAGTACAACTGTGCATCTTTTCTGCTAATCCTTACGCTTGCATCAACCATTGCCCAACAAAACTCTGATTTTCACCTCAGAACAGAGAAACACTTCTTGCCGATTCACCCTGGTCCTTATGGTTGTGAGTCGCAGCTCCAGGCTTTTGGCAGCTTTGCCAGGTGTCACCGCTTCTATGGGCTGTCTGTTCATCAAGGCTCAAGTCCTTTCTCAGACAAGCCTTTTCTCTCAACAGACCACATGCTTTGGCCATAGACCCGCCCACTCCCTCTGTCACCCAGAAAAGGAAGAAAGAGCTGCTGTTTATCCACTGGTTGCCAAGAATCTGATTACAGACACAACATGAGCTTCGGCAGCATGAATGCCTGTGGAAGCCTTTTCCAAACAGATGCGACTAAGTTATCTTTCTTCTGGCCGGGGGTTTCTGTCTGCACCGAGATAACTGAGTGTGGTATTCACAGATGAGTTAAAGGACACGACTTCCTTAGCAACCATCAGATACACACTGGTTTCTAACTCTAAACTACTAACAGCTTGCTTTTTCTTTTTCTCCTAAATAGATCACATCCTCTTTCCTGTTCTGGACCCAAACTTTCTAAAATATACATTTGAAAAACACATTAAGTTACAGCAGAGCTTTGCAAGGGAACCATGCGCAACAGTAAGGAAGAATGAGGAAGCCCTTTTTGTACTGACAGGGAACAGTCTCTGCCAATCTGCTGTGTGGAGAAAGCCAGTGCAGATCTGTAAGGGTCTTGCGAGCCCTGATGATAACTCCCCCCAAATCTGTGCTCCTGTCTTAGGCTCAGGCTCTGTCCATCCCCAGGCATTACCCACAGACACCTGGGATGACATAGGGACTATAGTTCTTCTGGGGTTTTCCTCTTTAGGGGTGGGAAGTATGGAGCGACGGGTGAGACGGGTGGTCAGTGATCACGGAAAGCTGAGTCCCGTTCCTGGCTCAGCTGTTGTATTCCGTATCCATACAAACAGCTTTCTCATTCTTCCTTACTGTTGCACGTTATTCCCTTGCCAAGATCTGCTATATACCGTGCGCGGTTCCTGCCTGGGAGCAGGGGCCGTGGAAAGAGCATCGGACTGAGGACAGAAGGTGTAGAGAGGCCTCTCCCCCTTCATGGGGCTCAGTGTCCTCTGCCAAACTCGTGGCATGAAGCCCCACCCCGTCCCCAAATGGTGTTGCAAGGCTTCTGAGCCGAGGACGGGTAGCAACGTTAACCACTCGCTCTGACACATGTCCAATGGCCCGTGAGTCTTGCTCACGGCGGAAGCAGATCCAGACACTATAAAATCAAACGGCTCCTAGACACAGATCTTCATGAGAAGGACTCCAGGTTCTGCCAACACATTTTAATCACTGGAGGAGCCGTTCCTATGCCCTCCCTCATCGATGGAACTGGGTTGCCACAGAGCCATCACTTCTCCCTGCGGGCCCTGGCGGCAGCCCCCTCAGGCCTGAGTGCCCAGGGGAGAAGCATTTCAGCAGATGTTTTGACTCCTGCCCCATAGTCCTGCCCACAGGGTTGCAAGAACTCCTGCCCGAAGGGGTGAGCAGAAAACCACAGGAAACAGTGACTGGTTCTGAGAATATGTCACTTCCTGCTTCTGCAGAACCTCCAGAGGGCAGGAGGCCGTAAGAGGCTCCACCCATGGGTGGGTGGGGAGTAGAGGGATAGGGTGGGTCAAGAATCCCTTTTTCAGTTTTTCTGGTCAGAGAAACTCACAGCCCCTTCCAGCCCCTCCTGGGCCGCCTCAGGTGCACCTGCGGTGGTTCTGAGGAAAGACAGGAGCCGGGTGAGGCCTGGCGAGGGCCCAGAGGGAGCCCGGCGCTCAGAGATGCTGACAGGGCTGGGGTGGGCCTTGAGTGGGTTACATGTTTACCGCGCGCAGTGGAGGCCTACGAGAAAGGCTGGATGGTCCCCCAGTCAGCGGCTCCTGCATCTAAACGCCACCTCCCAGAATGTCCTGTAGAGACCAGCACCTTGCCCCTCTCCCTCTAAGACAGGGAAGGATGGGACGTCGGCCCAAGTTCACACAAATAGCAGGGGTTCTGCAACCCAAGCTCACCTGAACCTCAAACGGCAGCCTGAAGGTGAAAGGAGAATGCCTGGGAGGCCATGAGGCCTGGGGCTGTGGCAGGAAGGAAGCTTGGAGGGAGGAGGGAGTTAAAACCGAGAGAAGAGTGAGCGTGGCCCTTTTCCTGAAGGCCCAGGAAGCTGTTGGCAGTTTACTCAGGAGAGCAACATGGGCAGAGAGGGTTTGGGAACATTCTGGGTGCTCGGGAGCAGGCTGGATGTAGGGAGCAAGACCAGAAGTAGGATGACCGGTTACAAGTGCTGAGGCACCACTTCTGGAAAGCAGCACCTGGCAGCTTTTAAAATGCACAGCCCCTCACGACACACGCCAGTCATCCGGAAACTTGGAGCTGGCGGGGCGGACAGCATTGGCCTGGGAGCTTAGATGGAGGGTGTGTGTGTGTGTGTGTGTGTGTGTATGTATGTGCTGGCGCTGGCGGGGCGGACAGCATCGGCCTGGGAGCTTACATGGAGGGTGTGTGTGTGTGTGTGTGTGTGTGTATGTATGTGTGTGCGCGTGTGTATGTGTGTGCGTGTGTGTATGTGTGTGTGCTGGGGAAACAGGGTTTTACCCTTTGGGCAAAGTCAAATCAGAGAAATATGGGGGAGGTAAAACAGGAGGGAAATGATTGGTTTTCAGAGGGTTAGTTCCTCTCTGACACCCAACAGTCCAGGGCGAGGCCAGCGGTGCCACCCAGTCACTCACCAGTCCCAGAGGTGAAGCCAGGCTGCTGGAAGTTGTAGTTCTTAATTTCACTGTACCACCGATCAGCCACCTCCTGTCCTGTAGGGAAAAGACACTGTTTAAAACTCAGCAGCAAAATCAACCCACTCCTATTCCTTCCATCTACTCCCACCAACCGCAAGCCACTCACCCCACAGTGAGGGGTCCGATAAAGCACCCAGGAGCTGAAACAGGACTCCTGCCCAGGGGCACACCGGAGCTCAAGAGGCGGCCCTGGGGGTTCGGGGAGCCCTGGCCTGGGATCACCCGCATCTGTTCCTCGCCGGCCACGAACTCGCCGTGGCATCCTAGGCAAGGCCTTCCCCTCCCTGGGCCTCCGTAAAGAGGGTTCCATGCAAGGCACTCCAGGGGCTTCTGATGATGTTCCTGGTGTTCCTGAGCCCGCCCTCCTCCCACCCCAAGCCTGGCTCCCGGAATATCCACAGGAGGGAAGGCAATTGGGCTGCCGGGCCCGGGTCTCCGAGGCAGGCAGACGGGGCCTCACTGGGAGCAGCCCCCGGCCTAGATGTGCTGATGGGAGAAGCGCACAGCATTTCCCTGGGAGCTGCGGATCTCAGGGTCAGAGCTAGAAGGAGCCTCGGAGCTCAGAGCAGAATCGCAAGCTTGAACGTGTGCTCACGTCACCTGGGGCTCTTGCTAAAGTGCAGCAGGTCTCGGGGCAGCCTGTGAGTCTGCATTCCTAACAAGTGCCCAGAGGCTGCTGCTGGCCATGCACCACGCTCTGAGCGGCAAGGAGGGCCTTCGAGAGCCGTGGCCACACACCGGCCTCGTCGGGGAACGTGTGAAAGCTGCTGATGCCTGGGACCTGCCTCGAACGGATGGTACATGTATCTCTGGAGGAGAGACCCAGGCCCTGGTGTTTTTAAAAAGCACCGCAAGATCCCATGTGCAGCCAGCGTGGGGACCGCTGCCTTAGCGGCCACTCACCCAGCCCCCCCTCTCTGTCGAGATGGGAAACTGAGGCCAGAGAGGGGAAGGGCTTGCTCAAGGCTCCCCAGGGAGCCAGTGCAAGGCTGGGAGGGAACCTCCTCTCCTGCTGGCTCTTTCCCATCCCTCTCCCTCCTCCCCTGGGCCCGGCAGGCCCAAGCCCAGGCCGGGGAGGCGGCTGCAGGCTGTGGACTCCTGCCTTCCCCGGGAGCATGTGCATCCTCTCCCGGAGGGGCCCGGAGCGGGGGAAGCTGAGAGGACACGCTGGCCTCCCCAGGGAACTCCCAGGAATGTGAGGCCCGGGAGGGAGAAGGCTTCGGGGAGGGAGGCAGTGCTCGCCAACATTTTTCCTAAAAAGCCAGGACAGGGCTGTCCGACCAGGAGGCTCAAGGAGGTCTGGCCCGTGTGGCGGGGTCGCCACTGCAGGCTGAGCCGTCAGATGAAGGGCTGTCTTGCCCATGATGGTGATTTTCTTTCCGACGTGTTAAAAGCTCTGCTGTGCTTTTCTGGTGAGAAAGTTAATACACCAGCTCTGGGAAACAATCTGTTTTAGAAGAATGTGACACAAGTAACATTCTTCTGCAGCTGGGGATGCTGGGGAGCGGGGTCAGGGGGGCCTGCCAGAGAGGCCTGCGGCCGCACCCTGCTCCGCGGCTGGGAGCTCCTCCGAAAGGGGGTGCGGGCAGTCCGGCTCCTCTCTGTGTCCCTGGCAGCAGCACAGGCCTGGCCCCACCAGGGACGCTACCCTCAGCCCCGGAGTGCGGAGCTCGGTTCCTCTCCGGCTCTGCTCTGCCTGTGGTGCCCATGGCTACACGCGGAGGGAGGGCCCCAGGGGCTGGAATGCGGGCTGCCAAGGCCGGGCAGGGGGCAGGGGAGCCGAGAAGGCGACCCACCTGGCTGATCGTAGGATGCCCAGGCCAGGTTCTCCCCGCACTGGCCGCGGCTGGACTCCGGGCTGTGCTTGAGGATCCGCGTGCTGGCCAGCGCCTCCGAATACCTGCGGGGGGGATGGTGTTTCTCAGAGGAGCAGCCCAGGGAGGCCCCGAGGTGAGCCCTGAACCGGCAGCGTGGCCGCACGTCCTTCCGGGGCTCGGGGCTCGGGGCTCGCAGTGCAAACTGGGAGCGTCCCTTCTGAGCAGCTCTCCTGAGCCCCAAACAGCCCATTTTACAGAGGAGCAAACTGAGTTCAGAGGAACAAAGGGGCCTGCGGAGTCGTTATTCAAGCCTGAGTGATCCTGCCCCCGAAACGCATGTCCCTCCAGCCCCCCAGGGCCCCGCTGACTGCAGCCTCCGCACCCGACCGGCCGTCACCCCGGGGCGCAGGGCACTCACTGCTGAGCCTCCTGGTTGAGCTTCTTGCACAGCTTCAGCGGGGGGACGCCATGCTGCTGCCGGTACTCGTTGTGGGCCCGCAGGACCTCGTTGTTAAACTGCTTGGAAGCTGCAATGATTCCGAATGGAGACTCAGTGCAGGGAGAAGACCCACCGGGAGTGTGATGGCACCTTCTCAGCCGATGGCAGGCCCCTCAGCCCCAGCCAAAGGGACAATGTGAGGAGTGCTCCACCCCTCTGCCCCCTGTCTCCCTCCCTCCACCCCTCTGCCACCCTGTCTCCCTCCCTCCACACCTCTGCCACCCTGTCTCCCTCCCTCCACCCCTCTGCCCACCCTGTCTCCCTCCCTCACACCTCTGCCACCCTGTCTCCCTCCCTCCACCCCTCTGCCCACCCTGTCTCCCTCCCTCACACCTCTGCCACCCTGTCTCCCTCCCTCCACCCCTCTGCCCACCCTGTCTCCCTCCCTCACACCTCTGCCACCCTGTCTCCCTCCCTCCACCCCTCTGCCCACCCTGTCTCCCTCCCTCACACCTCTGCCACCCTGTCTCCCTCCCTCCACCCCTCTGCCCACCCTGTCTCCCTCCCTCACACCTCTGCCACCCTGTCTCCCTCCCTCCACCCCTCTGCCCACCCTGTCTCCCTCCCTCACACCTCTGCCACCCTGTCTCCCTCCCTCCACCCCTCTGCCCACCCTGTCTCCCTCCCTCACACCTCTGCCACCCTGTCTCCCTCCCTCCACCCCTCTGCCCACCCTGTCTCCCTCCCTCACACCTCTGCCACCCTGTCTCCCTCCCTCCACCCCTCTGCCCACCCTGTCTCCCTCCCTCACACCTCTGCCACCCTGTCTCCCTCCCTCCACCCCTCTGCCCACCTGTATCCCTCCCTCCACCCCTCTGCCACCCTGTCTCCCTCCCTCACACCTCTGCACATCTGCACCCATGGATTATGCAGGGCCCTGTGGCCCATGTGAGGGATCTGGGTCTTTACCCAAAGCAGTGGGAAGCAACTGATTGGGGGCAGAGGAGTGAGCTGGTGAGATCGGTGTTTCTGAAAGTTCCTGCTGGCTGCTGAGTGGAGGATGGGCCAGGGGTGCAGAGCAGATGTTGTGGTGGGGTGGGGGTCCTGGGCAGTGAGCAATGGGACTTCTGAAAGAAAATGTTTGAGGGAGACTGGCTATCTCAGACTGGACCTATGGTGCCTGGTGGGGACTGGGCAGGACTGGAGGTGGGCGCTCAGAGAGAGGGGCCGGGGTGGAGGGGCCCCACACTGGGCTGGTAAAATCAAGAAGACAGGGACAGATGAAGAAAAAGGACCAGGAAGGACAGCATTGGAAGTGAATGAGGGGAGAGTGTGGAAAAGAATGTGTTGGCGTTGGGTTCAGAGGTGCATTGAGGGATGAAATGGAGCCTGTGGTCAATGGGGTCATGACCTTAGAAAGGGCAAGGTCTGGGCGGCTAGGATTAGGGAAAGAATAAGTGGGTGAAGCCAGGTCAGGCAAGGTCAATAGTGGACAGAAGTCACATCAATTTGGATCTGAAATGGGACCCCATCCATCCAACACCCCCCATTCATCTCTCCACCCTTCATTCATCCATCCATTGATCTGTCCTGTCAGCAGCAGCAGCATCCCAATCCCAGCCCACCCATCGGTTCCTGTGCTCTCTGAGCACCTCCTCCGTGCCAGGTCCCGTATGGTGTGCGAGGTGCCCAGGGACAAAACGGCCACGTCCTGCCTCCAAGAGCTCACACTCGGAAGGGAGACAGCCTGCAAACAGACACTAGCAAACGGGGCGACAGGGCCCCGGTGCACAGGTGCAAGAGGAACTTGACAGGCAACCTAACGCGGTCTGGGGACTCAGGAAGGAGGTGACCCCAGAGAGGAGGCCCCAAAGATGCCTGGACAGCAGCAAGCCAAGCGTGGACTGTGAAGGCCCTGAGTGACAGCTGTAGGGATCTGGGAGTGTCCCTCCGTGGGAATGGGTGAACTGGGTGAGTCAGGAGTGAGGGCTTTAAACTGAGCTCGTTCCATTGGGCAGGAGCCTGTCCCCAAGGCCTGGCTGAGGGCAGGCAGGGAGTAAACTGGAGAATGAGAGAAGCATCAGGAAGCCTCAGTTATTCCTGCCATTACCCCAGGTCACGTTCGTCAGCTGTCCTTCTCCTCGGCTGTCTTTTCTTTCTTTTTTTAAATATATTTTATTGATTTTTTACAGAGAGAAAGGGAGAGGGATAGAGAGCCAGAAACATTGATGAGAAACATTGATCAGCTGCCTCCCGCACACCCCCCCACTGGGGATGTGCCCGCAACCAAGGTACATGCCCTTGACTGGAATTGAACCCGGGACCCTTGAGTCCGCAGGCCGACGCTCCATCCACTGAGCCAAACTGGTTCTGGCATCCTCTGCTGTCTTTTCACCCCAGGCGCTGAGCAGATGAGCCATCAGGGAATCCCTTCCCCTCTCTCAGCCCGATCCCCGTGTCTCCTGGGCCTTCAAATCAAACTCACTGGGCCGGGGAGTGGACTTGAGGGGAAGAAGGCCAGAACTTGCCCTCGGAGCTTTTGGCCGGATGCCAACCCAGGGGAGATGAAGGCACCTGCCAGTGGTGGAGGCAGAGCTGTCCCAGGGGCTTTCTTGAGTTGAAGAATGAGTGGTACTGACCCCGAGGGCTGTGGAGCCCAGCAGGGCAGTCCGGTGAGGCCCAGGCACAGCGATGTGGGCAGGACAGGGACGCGAAGCCTGTGGACAGGCCGCCCCGGGAGCCAGGGCCGGGCTGCACTTGGTCCGCAGGGCTGTGGGCCTGCAGTCTCCTTGGCAGAGGGATATTTATAAGGCTGCTAAAAACTAGGTCACTGCACTCCCAGACTATGGGAAGTTAAGAGAGATAAAAGTGAAAGTTCCTGTGCTCGACCTAAGCTCGCTGCCTAGAAACCAAAGCCAGTCATTGTCCACACCAGGCCCAGTTCCCTGGGGCAGGGTTCCCAGGAAGGGGTCAGGACAACTTCCTGGAAATCATCGAGGGAGCCCTCCCTCCCCACCCTCTGGGAGGCACTCCCACCCCCTCCGAGGAGTCCCCTCCCAGCACAGCAGACAGTCCCAGCCCTGGTGGCTCCACACAGCAGGGCCTCAGCCTCAGGGAGACAAGAGATCACTGGTGACCACACCCAGCAAGAGGCACACCCCACTTCTGTAGAAAAGCCCAAGGACAAAGATAAACATCGGGAAAAGAAGGTCAAAGGAAACCTACCCATCCCTGCACGAGGCAGGGAGAGCCCTCACGGCCAGCCCTCAATGGGGAGAGGGATTATGTCCTCATAGGGGGACCCACGGAGCTCGGGGTGCCGGCCCGGAATGAGGGGGGTCCTTTCTTCTGCACGTTGGCAACCACTGTGGGTGCCGGGCTGGGCCCCTCTCATTTACTTCTCACCACCATCTGTGGGAGCTGTCCATGTTTAAAAGGAGGAAACTGAGGGTCAGGAGGGGCGGTAACCTGTTCACATTCCCCCAACTGGCTCAGGGGCAGGCCCGTGAGGAGGGAAGCACTGTCCTTCACCCCACACCGCCTCCAGGGGATACAAGTCAAAGGACGTCACAGAGACGGAGGGACTGGCCAGACCTGGAGGAGGGTCGGGCTCAGTGAGCTTGGCAGCTGCCTTCAAATCTCTGAGGGGAGAGGGGGGGGGGGGGGGGGGGGGAGAGAGGAGAAAAGAACTGAGGTTTCAGACCTGCCTAAGGGGCCCCAGAGGCGAACCAGGGGCTGCAGGAGTAGAAGCTCCAGGGGCAGGTCTGGGGCTCAAGGTCGGAGCTGCTGGGAGGTGGAAGGGGCTGTCTGGGCTGGCTCCCTGGGGCTGAGGGTGAGGGAAGGGGCAGGGCTAGGCTGCCTTCGGGAGTGGAGGGCACAGGCATCTCAGCGGGGGCTGGCCTGGGGGCTCTCGAAGGTCCTTTGGGGCCTGGGCTTCTAAATGCCAAAGGCTCCAAGGAGGTCTGTGCCCTCCTCCCGCCTGGCTGTGGGCTAACACAGGCTCCCCTCTCAGCATCCGTCCTCCTCTGAGGCCTCCCGGAGCCCAGCCTGACTCATTTCCCTCCCCACTCCCGCCAGAGGCCCAGGACGGTCAGAGGCCGGGGCAGGAATGTAGACAGGCCCCTTCTGCCCCTTGGCAAGAAGCTGGTGTGAAACACTTTTGCCAAGTCCCCTCACCAAACCAAAACCTAGTAACTAACCCAATTGCAGTGACAGCCCCTCCCCGGACTGGAATTTTAAACCAATCAGTCTCGAATTTCCTGATCACTAATGGGACAAACTGCCTGATAAGCCCTGCTGCTTCCCCCTCAGGGGAGAGGACCCTGCCTAGAGGAACACACCCTTTTAAGTTCTTAGTCTCGCCCTCTTTATGCCTATAAAAACCTCCCATTTGTACAACGAACTCATCGGAGCACCCTTCTAGTTGCTAGAAAGCAATGAACCCATGAACTGCTGACTAAAGCCAATTAGATCTTCAGATGTACTCGGTTGAATATTGTTCTTTAACACTGGAAACTGCCCCGGTCCCACCTTTGGGTTAAAACTGGTTTATCAGGAAGGAAGAATACAAAGTTGAGGGGGGAAAAAAGAAAGGAAGAAAGAGCAGCTTCTGTTCCAGGAAATTCAAGAGGCAAATACCAGCTCTGCCTCTGACCAGCTGTGTGATTTTGGTCAAGTTGCTTAATCACTCTATGCCTCATCCCCCCCAACCCCCCACCCCCTCATAGAAAAATAGAGATAGCAGTGTCCACCTCACAGGGCTGTTATGAGAATTAAAAGAATTAATCTAAGTCACCGCTTTAGAACAGTTCTGGAACACAGTGAACAGTTACTCGGTGTCAATTATAACGATATCATTACTAACAAAGCCTCTGGCTTGGGGAGACATTGTCCCATCGGATCCCATCCCTGATTTCCACGGGAGCCGGACTGCTGGTATTTGTATTAATCTTTTCTTAAAAAGCGTATTTTTATTGATTTCAGAGCGGAAGGGAAAGGGAGAGAAAGATGGAAACATCAGTGATGAGCAAGAATCCTTGCTCGGCTGCCTCCTGCACACCCCACACGGAGGATCGAGCTTGCAACCCG